TCTACTCTCTCATATAGGGTAGCTAGGATTCAGATAGGCTTGTTGATAATGGGTTTATGATAGTGTGGAGACCCTCGGTGGTGCAAATGGTTAATACACTTGCCTGTTAAATGAAAGGTTGACTCTACCCAGAGGCATCTCAGAAGAGAGACTCGATAGTCTATTGAAAAGCATCTGTCACTGAAAACCCAACGACACACGATTCTACTCCGACACACATTGGACCACTGTGAGTTGGAATGGACTTCATGACAACTTTATTTTATGATACTACAGTGGTGGACAAGGAGCTCTGATAGCATAGTGGTTACAAATTGGGCTGCTAACCTCAAGGTCAGCAGTTCGAAACTACCAGCTGTTCCAGGGGAGAAAGATGAGGCTTTCTGCTCCTATAAAGATTTGCAGCCTTGGAAACCCTGTGCAGGGTCACTGTGAGTCGGAACCGACTCTTAACTGTACTTAACAACAACAACAATAGTGGTGGACACATGACATTGTGCATTTACCAAAACCCATAGAACTGTGTAACACAAAGAGTGAGCTCCAATGTAATTATAGACCTCGTTGTTAACTGCTGTCAAGTTGATTCCGACTCATAGCAACTCTGTGTAAGGTTTCCAAGGAGCGGCTGGTAAGCTTGAATCATCAACCTTGCAGTTCAAAGGATCTTACAGTCCAGTGCATTAACCCACTGTGCCACACCAGGACTCCAGTTATGGACCTTAGTTAAGAGTTATAGTAATAATAATATATCAATATTTGTTAATCAGTTGTAACAAATATATTACGGGGGCTTCATGAGATAAAACACTGGACTGATAACCACAAAGTCCACAGTTCAAGCCCACCAGTCACTCCTAGGAAGAAAGATGAAGCTTTCTGCTCCTGTGAAGATTTAAAGCCTCAGAAACCCTGTACACGGTCAGTATAAGTTAGAATCAACTTGATGGCACTTAACAACAAGAAGAAAATGTCAATAGTAGGTGAAACTGCCTATGGCGTATCTGGGGTATAAGGGACTTTCTACACATTTTTTCCTTTGTAAATCTAAAATTAATTTTAAAAAAATCTATTTGAAAAGGTGGCACATTAAATAAGTACTTGGCTGTTAATTGAAAGTTGACATTTTGAACCCATTAATTGAGCCCATTCCTTCATAAGAGAGAGACTTAGTGATCTGCTTCCATAAAGATTACTGTTGTTAAGTGCCCTGGAGTCAGGTCCAATTCATAGCGACCTTGTGTAGGGTTTCCAAGGAGCATCTGGTGAGTTTGAACCGCCAACCTTGTAGTTCAAACTGACCTTGCAGTTCAGTGCTTATCCTACGATGCCACACCAGGACTCCCCATAAATATCACAGCTAGGAAACTGGGGGGCAGTCCTACTTTGTCCCATAGGGTTGCCGTGTGTTGAAAATCGACTCGACAGTACCTTACATGCCAAGATTTATTTAAAAACAAAAACAAAATCCTGCTCAAAATCCCTAGGATGACCCTAAAAACTCATCTGTCCTTGAAGACAAGAGAGATGCTGATTTTAAGTAACGACTACCCAACTCTAAGGAGCTCTGGTAGCATAGTGGTTACGAGTCGGGCTGCCAACCGCAAGGTCAGCAGTTCGAAACTACCAGTGGTTCCGCGGGAGAGAGATGAGGTGTTCTGCTCCCGTAAAGATTTACAGCCTCAGAAACCCTGTACAGGGTCACTATGAGTCGGAACCGACTCCACAGTACTTAACAACAACAACAACAACAACCCAACTCTAAGGCAAAGAGGACTCTCTTAGGAATGGCAGAGAGGGAATAGATCATTCCCATTTTCTTACCCTTAAGTTGGTACGGTGCTGCAGGACAAACACTGGCTTGCTAACTGCAAGGTCATTGTTTCAAATCCGCCAGCCATTCCTTAGAAACCCTATACAGAGTTGGTATGAGTCCCAATCAACTCAACCACACATAACAACAAAAACAAGTACTTTCAAAGAAGTATTGTTCTTTGGATAACACTGATCTTTCTGATCCAGGCAACAGGAGTGCAGTGAGTTTTAAGTGACTGAGCCTTTCTTTCCCAGAGCACAGAACATTCATCTTGTAAAGCTGGTCATCTTGTAAAGAGCACATCACACACATTCGTACAGTCAAAGGCCTGAACTGTGCACTGCTCTGCTCTCCTTCCCAAGGCAACTTCTAAAAAGTCCTGTCGCAAAGGAAATCAGCCCACTTATTTAAGTGCTCACTTAAGGAGTTACCCCAGGGGTGTTGGTCTAATCTTCAGCTTTTCCCAATGTCTCTGCACCATGTTTCCATTCAGATTGTTCCTCTAAACCATCTGGCACTAAATTTAAATATTCTCCAGGGAGGTTGAATTTCCCCCAAACAATGTATATTCTTGCGTGGAGTCTAGATTCCATTTAGGGGACTGACAATGACAAAACATTTGAATTAAAGAAAGGAGTCCTTGACTATACTTCCTCCTCTGCCCAAGGAACTTTGTGATCTCCAGCAAGTCACAAACAGTTGTAGTAATACTTGGCCTGCCTTCTTAAGGTATAATGTGACAAGTGGGAGTGTGTGCATGGAAATTTTGGTGACTATGACACATGTTCATTTTGATAGCTATGCACTATTTTAAAAAATGCTATGAGATTGTTATTATAACAACAACAAAAAATATTTCTAGGTGAAACTCAGGTGGCTTTCTAATGCCCATGAAGGCAGGAAAGGTAGCGAAATACAACAATTTAACTGTGTTTTGGAAATAAAACCCTTCTGCAGAACTTAACATGTTTCAGTATGGGAATGTCATGCTTCTAGAATTTCCACAAGGGTAGTGTAAGTGTGCATTGCTATTTGGGAACAGAAAGTGCCCTCCATGTAGTGAATCAATAACATCTGTGTATAGTGAATGCAGTGTCTGGATTAGTGTGCCCCTGTGTTCTGTCTCATCCCTGTGTGCTGTGCCCATGTGTGTAACTCAGCTTTTGGATATTGTGTATGTGTGTCTAGTAAATAGATAGGTAACAAAACATTAACCATTTCAATAACCTTTACATGTATAACTCAGTGACATTAAATATATTCATTGTGCGTATTGTTCAACCATCAATATAAACCATTTCTGAATTTTCCACCACCCTTAATAAATGCTTATTGTTGTTGTTGTTAAGTGCCATTGAGTTGGTTCCGACCCATAGCGACCCTGTATAGGGTTTCTGAAGAGCAGCTGGTGAGCTTGACCCACTGGCCTTGCAATTCAAACGGCTTTGCAGTCTGGCGTATTAACCCACAGTGCCACACCAGGACTTTGTGCCTTTTCCCTTCCCCTTTGTCTGTACCTGCCTGTTCCTGGTTTTCACTAGATTCAGATTTTATTGAGTTGAAAGCCCAGGGTTCTGGTTTTGGTCTTCTGCTACCTAGGTTTCTGAGTTTCAATAGGTCCCTCAGACCTTTCTGAACCTCAGTGTCCTTGTTTTTAGAGAGTTGGGCTAGATGATTTCTCAGCTCTATCATTCTAAGTATCAAACTTAAGTGTGGGCTGATTGGTGACCACATTCGTCACCGATAAGGGGAAATGAGGGAAAAACAGCAATGAAGCGGTGAGCTAAGCCCTACAATATTCAATAGACTCCTGCGATCCCCAGGTGGAGACCTGGTTGGCCAGCAGCATTGCAAGACCTGGGGACTCTTGGGCCCAGAGTCAATGACATAACCATAGAGGACTAGAGTGGAGAGTGAAGCATCCAGCTGATAAAAAGGGAGGGCATATGCACAAGAACACCCACACTTGCAGATATACCCACTTGACCTGGCTTCAATGACTGGATGGAGGATCAGAGCTCAACTAGAAGAAGAAAGAAGAGGAGAAAAAGAGTAATCTGATACAATTTGATGAACTTGACCTACACCTATGGATGTAGTAGCTCAAAAGAGGGAACACATCTTTACAGTGAGGATCATTCCCACCCCCTCCATACACAGAGTAGACAGGGATGGGCAACTTGGACATTGACTACCCAAAATGGGTGGACTACAAAGGCAAGAAGTGACTGGCTTACAAGCTTTCATGGGGAAACCTAGATCCAGAGGGCATGGAGGAAGGTAGAGTCTCCACTGAGTAGTATACAATCTGTCTAGGTGGGGTTGATGAAACGAAATGGGGATAGGTCTCTTGTGATACAATAGTGAAGAATTGTTATCAGGACTGATTGTGAGTGTTGGAAATGTAAAGGTAGACGTTTTGTAGCAAAAGGAAGGGAGTGATTGACTTTGCAGTCTAGGAGCGGAGGTCCCTGAGACCATGAAGGGAGAAGAGTGGACAGCAGGACCCTACCCAGAGAAGCAGTGATGCCAGAGATGGAGACAAAGATGATGATGTGGAGAGATGGAGCAGCTGGGGACTTTAGACCCAGAGAGGAATAGGGGCTGTGTGCTGACAACCAGGGGGCAGGCTTGCAGGGTATACCCTTTGGTTCGTTGATTATGCATGGAGGGGATTATAACCATAGCAATGAAACAATATATAATAGGATGAATGTAAAACTAATGTTCTCCAATGTAAACTATCACATAATTCACAATAAAACAGTAAAAACAACAACAACAAAAGCAGTTAAAAAACATTTTGCTGTTAGTTTTACTCTCTAGTTTGGGTTCTGGATCTTGGTTCCTGTGGGTCAGCTATTCTTTGTCAGGGACTCCTTTGTGAACTTCTATACCTGTGTTGTTTTTCATTAAAATTATAGAATTTGACTTTTTGGAAATGGTCTCTTACTTACTGAGTATGTAGGAAGCTCAAGTGTAAAACTCACTCATTAAAAACACATACACACATCACAAAACCACAGGCCCTATCAGACTGTCGTCATCAAGCAGACTAGAATAGTGCAGAACACTCTAGGCAGAGAGGAAATGAACTTGAGAGGAGGAACACACGGCAGAGAGAGAAATAGGGCAAGAGTGGAAAGTGAGAGCTCAAGCGCAGGGCCACCGAGATGGTCAGAAGATGGGTGAGGTGGCAGTGAAGCAGGGCTTCCTGCATCTTCAGCAGCAGCAGACTTTTGGAAAGGTAGGCACAGGGTTGGGCTGAGGGGCATAGGGGTAGGGTGGGGATAGGGGAATGTAAGGGGATTGCTAGAGATTCTTGGGGAGAAGTGGGATATTCCTGAATGTTCTAAAACCTTTATGGGATGGTAGGGATTCTACCATCCTCCAAGTTATACCAGAGATCAACCTCAAAAAGGCTCATTGCTTAGCAGATGCTCGCTTCCTAAATAGGCCCCAAACTATGTTCTTTGCTAAGGGCTGTGCACCTTCCTGGGGAAAAGGAAGCGCTGACTCAGTCTCTTACCTCTCTTGCTTTGTGGTGACTTCTCATGGGACAGCTCAGAAGGAGGTGGAAGGAACAGCTGTGGGGGTAACTTGGGATTACAGTGGCGCTATGTTGCCTCCTTTCAAGTGGTGTGAGTTTAAGTTGGCATTAAGCTTGGGCTGAGGTTCTTGAAGCCGACTTCCCAGTATGCCTAGAACTTCTCCTTCTTTGGTCTCCTTAAATGGGGAAGTGCTTTTCCCTCAGCTGACCCACCCCAGGGCTCCTCTGTCTCTGCCCTGGCTCTCCAGGGATGAGACAGAAAAGTTCCTGGAGATAGGGGCCTTCCACCGAACTTCACACAGAACAAGAATGATGGTCTCGAGTCTAGCTTTGGAAACTTTTTATCTCTTGGAGTTGGGGCCTACTCGACCTTCTTTTACTCTGTATCCGGTGGCTGGTTACTGTGTTTTCTGCCTTCAGCGGTGTCTGCTTGTCAGTTCAATTCTGGATTGATCTTGGGTGCTTGTGGCTCACCTCCAGTGCTTTCTAATTCCTGTGGCCCTTGTTAGTTCTCTGCCTCCCTGCATTTCCTGTGGTCTTTATCTCTCTTCCCCCAACTCAATGGGTCTGCCCCAGTCCCTTTCCCACAGTTCCTCTACCCTTTGGTCACAATCTCTTCATCTCTTGGTGACTCCCTCTTGATACCTTACTGCCCATGTACCTGGGCTCAGAAATGGCGGCGGTTCTGGGCTGTGCTGTATAGAGAGTCCAGTTGCACCCTGGCCCGACTGGAGCTCCAGGAGAGCCCAGAGAAGCAGCGCCGTGGAGAGGCCGCCCGGCGGGTTATCCGTCTCAGTGACTGCTTGTGGGTGACTGAAGCCAGTGGGGAGGCCAGCAGCCCCCGGGACACCAGCACCTTCCTCCTGGAGACCAAGGAACGTCCGTGGCAGCTGGCGGCCCCTATTGCAGAGCGTGATGACTGGATACAGGCCATCTGCTTGGTGGCCTTCCCTGTAAGTAGTCAAGGCCTGTGAAAGGGCAAGGGGATGTATATGGGGGAGGGGCAGAGGGCCATAATTATTTCCTGTGGGCAGATGGTATAAGAAGCAAATTCAAGATGCTTCAGACAGTTCCGTGGTGGGGAACGTCAGTCCGGAATGCATGCAGAGGCAGTAGGTGGGGCTGCCTTAAAGAAAGCCTGGGCCAGAGGTGGTATTTGGGGTTGGTGTGGTCATGTGAGACCCAGGACTTCTTCCACAGGGGCAGAAGAAGGAGCTCTCAGGGTCTGGGCTGGAGGATGTTCCCGGGAAGGGCAGCAGGCCCCATATGGAGGAGAATGAATTGTACAGCAGCTCTGCCACAGGTGAGTTGGGGCTGGGGTGGAGAACAGCTGCCCTGCTGCCCTGTTCTCCCCATGGTCTCCTAGGGTGTGGTTGAATGGAGGTGTAGCAGCTCTGATGGCCTTGAGTCTTCCTGCCTTGTGGTTGCCCCCAGCCCTGGCCAGCCCCCCTTATCAGCTTCTCCCCATCACTTCCGGCTTTGGCTCAAGGTGGGGAGTTTAGCTCCTCTGGGTCAGCTTTCAGCCTTGCTTCATCATCCCGACTTTCCCAGGTGCACTGGTGAGAGAGGTCAGGGCTGCGGTGTGGGAGTTGGGGGTGAGGGGGCTGGTGAGGGTGCTGCTCTTGAACCTCTCTATTTGGTAACTGAGCAACTGTTTGAAAAAAAAGAGTTTTTCTCTGAACTGGTTGTGGTTTTAAGGTATCCTGGGGCAAGGGAGATTCTAGCTGACAGGGCAATCCATGCTCTTGCTATTTAGCCCTTGGGGATGGGTGTGTGGGGGCATCATCCCGCAGAGGGCACAGGATGGCATCAGGGGTGGGTGGATAGACTGACAGCTGAGAGGACAGTGGTAGACTTCACCTGCAGCTGTGGCATGAGAGCCTGGGAAGGCAGCTGGTTTGGGGTGAGAGCTACTATGAGTTGGTGGAAGAAGACAAGCCTGTGGCTCTGGCAACAGGGGCAGGAAGGATGTGGGTACAAGGTTGGGGTGGATGTGGCTAGGTTATGATGCCTACTGGAGTAGGGGGTGAAGGTACTTAGTTTTGGGGGAATGTCCTTTCATGGAACAGTTCATCCTTCAAGATCCAGGCTGGGAGGCTCTGTGTACCTGGATATCACTTTTTCTAGAGATATTCTGGCATCTTCCTTTAGAATGGGTAACGTTGAGGCCCGTGAGCTGTTTCCCATTAACTGTTTTTTTTTCCTCTCCCTTCTTCCCCCCAGTCGTTGTCCAGAAGAAGTTTGTTGTGACCATGAGACCCACAGAAGCCAGTGAGAGGTGCTGTCTGAGAGGATCTTACACCCTCCGGGCTGGAGAGAGTGCCCTGGAGCTGTGGGGCGGCCCCGAACCGGGCACGCTGCTGTATGAATGGCCTTATAGATTTCTGCGGCGCTTTGGGCGGGACAAGGTGAGAGAGAGAAAGCTGCAAGTCCAGGGATGAGATAGGAGAGCAGAGAGAATGTCAGGGGGAGGGCAAAGTCTCTCCACCATAGAAAGAGAAAGAAGGGATGAGGAGAAAGGAAAGCTACAGAGAAAGGCTGGCATGAAAAGGGATGAGAAAACCAGGGAGAGAGAATGAAAGCAAAAAAAAGGCACACCTGTGAGAATGAGAGAGGGAACGCTGGTAGAGGTGGGAGATTGGGAAAAGAGGAAGAGATGCAATAAAGAAGAATCAGGGGGAGCAAAGAATGCACTGGTGGTGCAGTGGTTAAGTGCTTGACTGCAAAAGGTCAGCAGCTGGAACCTGCCAGCTTCTGCTCCACACACCTGCCCATGCCCCCCCCAGGTTAAAAGCAAGAGCAAGGATTGCACTGTCAGCCAGAAACTCCCTTGTTACAGGACACCTTAAGACCATAGCCAATATCAGACAGGAAACAATTCTTTTTTAAAAACAATTCCCAAAGAGAGAATATTCCAGAGCTCCACCTTCAATGGTGCCCCTTAGCCTTGATCTCTCCAGCCAAGGAGCCTGGGAAAGTTTGGAGGGAGGAGAAAAGAGCTTGGAAAGAACTACTCCTACTGGAAGGAAGCTGGAGGGGATTGCAGCTCATAGTTGGAGGTGGGGGTCTAGCAAGAGTAAGCCTGCCCAGTGGCCTGCCCAGTAACCTCCCTCTCCCCCTCTGCCCAGGTAACCTTTACCTTCGAGGCAGGCAGGCGCTGTTTCTCTGGGGAGGGCAGCTTTGAGTTTGAAACCCAGCAAAGCAACGAGATCTTCTTGGCCCTGGAGGGGGCCATCTCTGCTCAGAAGAGTGCTGCCCCTCCTGGGCCCCAAACCCAGCCAGCCACCATCCCCATAGTGCTCCCCAGGCCGGAGAGCCCCTACTCCCGGCCCCATGACTCATTGCCACTGCCATCACCCACCACACAAGTTCCTACACCCCGGCCTCGGCCTCGGGGCCCGGAGGGGGAATATGCAGTGCCCTTTGATGCAGTGGCCCGTTCCTTGGGAAAGAGCTTCAGGGACATCCTGGCTATCCCTCCCCAGCTAGATCCTCTGTATGATAGCATTCAGGAGCAACCGGTCCCCAGACATGATCACATATATGATGAACCTGAGGGGGTGGCTGCTCTCTCACTGTATGACAGCCCCCAGGAACCCCAAGGTGAGGCATGGAGGAGGCAGGCCAAAGCTGACAAGGACCATAGAGGCCTCCAGCACGTCTTCTCAGCTGGGCAGGACTTCTCTGCCTCTGGCTGGCCTCAGGGAACCGAGTATGATAATATTGTACTCAAGAAAGGCCCAAAGTGATGGGAGGGTGGAGTAGATAGATGTGGGCCACATTGAAGTAGAGGGAGTTAGAAGGTGGTAAGAAGGAGAAAGGAGGAGGGGGTAAGGTAAGCCTTCCCTACTGGCTTCTGCTGTTGGTAACTCCTTTTGGTTACTGCATCCACAGGTCCTCCTTCCGCCCCCTACCTGTCTCCCCTTCCTCCCTTACCATCTGCACATACTGGGCTTGGCCCTCCTTAGTTTGGTTTGATGAATTGTCCTTTCTAGTGCCCACTGGGTGAGTCACCATCCCAAGGCAAGAAGGGTGCCCTGGAGAGACCCACCCTCTTCCCACTCCTTTTCTACTTCCTCCTTTCCTAACCCCCAGCCCAAGCAGAACCTGGGACATTTAGAACAGAGGATATAGGGATGTAGGTGACAACCCTGGCTCCAGGCACCCAGAGGGATTGTTCGGATTTATCTGTGGCATTAAATATCTCTGAAAATTTTTTGTGTGGCATGAGTGCTGTGGAGGTGGGGATTGGATCACTATAGTCTTGCTGGGGAATGACTACTCCAGGTAACCCCTGTAGAGCACCTTCTCTCCTACTTTGAGGTTCTTCCTGGGCCTGCAATGGGTCTCAAGTATCTACACCTAGGGTTAGAGATCTGTGGAAGTCAAGGCACTGTGGGAAAGATGTCCAAGCATACCTAACCTTTGGCTAGTATGGAGTCAACACCAGAAAACTGCAGAAGCAAGGGAAAGTGTTGGAAACGCTAGATTGGAGGAAAGGGAAGTGTTGGCAGTTACTGAGCCTCTTATGGAATAAATGTTATTGTTCCGATGAGTTAATTCTGACTTAGAGCAACTTCATGTGACAGAATAGGACGGCCCCATAGGGCTTTCTCGGCTATAATCCTTACAGAAGCAGATCACCAGGTGTTTCTCCCACAGAGTGGCTGGGTGGATTTGAACCATCAACCTTTTGGTTACCAGGTGAGAGCGTAATCATTGCACTGCCATGCTCCTTGTGCACTCGCTATGAAAGAAAATACTACAGTTGCTCACCTGGGCAGATTCCTTCCCTTCCCAGAGACCTACCCTCTTTGTAAAATGAGGGGCTATGTGATAAGGGCACTAAAAGCCCTTTCATCTCGGTGACTCCTCAGAGGCCCTAGTGATCCCAATTCCCTTTTTACTCCATTTTCCTACAGGTTGGGCTCTGCTCTTTTGCTTGTTCTTATCGTTACTTAAAACCTGCTTTCATGGAAAGGTATGTCAGTAAATTACTGATAGCACCCACTCCATCAAATATTACAGAGCATGGTTTGTATAAGGCTCCTTGGCCTCAAGCTGCTTATCGTCCAGAAGGGGATATGCCAAGAGGAATGTCATTATCACTTTCTTAAGAGGTGAAACAGTGCTCTGGGGTTCAGACCCAAAAAGGCTTCATTTTAAAGATTGACTTTGAAGGTGGGGTGGTATTTGAGGAGGATTTTGTTTGAAGAGAACATTCTGGGTAGGGCAGAGAAAACAGAGTAGGAGTGTGTGGGAAGGTTTGTGTTTATGAAAGAGTTCTACATTCAGAGTAGACATGTGACAATTTGGGAATGCCTACTTAGACCACATTATAGAAGAATTTGTACCTAATTTGAAGAGAAGAAAGGAGCCCCCGGTGGCACAGTGGGTTAAGTGTTGGACTGCTAACTGAAGGGTCAGTGGTTTGAACACACCAGTTGCTCTTTGGGGGAAAGATGAGCTTACTTCTATAAAGATTTACGCAGGCTTGAAACTCTATGGGGCTCTTCTACTCTGCCCCACAAGAGTCTCCATGAGTCTGAATCCACTTGCCGGCAGTGGGTGGGGTTTTTGAAGGGAAGGAAGAATGACATAAGGCTTTTGAATTCCATGAGTTGAGCTTTAGGGCCATAACCCCAACAGCTCTGTGGAAGACGGGCTGGGGTTGGAATGGGTTAGAAAGTTGAAATGAAAGGGGAAGTTTAGAAAAGGCAGTGGATTAAAAATGCATGATAGAGATAGTAGCTGCAGACATTGGAGCCATACTGGATGTGGGACACAGAAAATTAAGAATATCTATCTCTGGAACAAGATGACGTGTTGGAAGTTAAGATGTTGTTAAGTGCTGTCGAGTCAGTTCCGATGAATAGCAACCCTGTATAAGATTTTCAAGGAGCGGAAGTTAAGATAGTTGTAATATATTCAGCTAGGGTAGCGCTGTAGGATCAGCACTGGACTGAGAACCACAATGTCAGCAGTTCAAACTCACCAGCTGCTCCTCAGAAACCCTACATAAGGTTGCTATGCGTCAGAACTGACTCAACGGCACTTAACAACAACAGGGATGATCTGAGAGCAGCTAGAAAGGGGACTCTAGAATTTAGGATGGAAATGAGAGATAAGACATATGGATTGAAGTCAGTCTTCTAGGTGTAATTGTGATTAAGTCTGATCTCTCACTCTAGTTTTGGGTGAGCAGGCTGGGAGGTAGTGACTGGGAGGCCCTCCTGGAAGCCCTCTTGTGTCTTACTGCCTGCCCTTGCTGGCTACCCCTGTTGGCATCCTCTGCTCCCAGCCTCAGGATACAGTGGAGGCAAGAAAGGCTCATGTCTCTGAGAGTTTTGATCTTTTCCTTCATTGGAGTATAGTTGTGGAGGATTAGGCAAAGATGCTAATTTCTATGAGGTAGCACTTGAGGTGGATGTCTTGGATTCTCCCAGCAGGGGGCAGTGTTAACCTGTGGAAAAGCCCGCTGGGGGCTTAGCTGTTGCCAGTCTTGGGGGCTTGGCCCTGAAGGAAGGAAACTTAAATATTTACTATTGGGAGGAATTGAGGATAATTTGAATCTGCATTTTAGAGTTTGTCTCTTTAGACTCTCAGAATCCCATCTTGAGACCTCTCTTCAAAGAAATGTGGGATCCTAAACTGATACCTAACCCCCTTACACCTTCTCCCCTAGCTGTCAAGATCTAGGAACTTCTGAGTTCTTCTATGAGGCCAAGGCTGATTCACAAGGGGAAGTTGTAGAGTGGGGCCCCAGGGAAAGGTGGGGTGAGGGCTGGGGGGAGGAAGGGAAGTAGAACATTTGGGGAAGCTGAGACGGGTAATGAAAGTCCTTGAGGAAACACTGACCATGTGTCTCAGAAGATGTGATCCAGTGGGTGTGTCACTCTGCAGAGAACTGTGTCAGCTCAATCACAACCAGCACTAACGTGGATAGCATTCCTTCATTAGACAAATGCTATCATTGAGCATTTCCTAGGTACCAGCATCACCTGAGGGCTGGGGGTGCACTGTGAGTCACAAAGGCAGGCTCATGTCTTCCCCATGGAGTCCACTAAGCAGGGTGGGGGAGTGTTTAGGAGCTGTTTACTGAAATAATTCATGAAGGAGTTAGCTTTAGGGGTCAGCTTCCTGAAACATAAACACAAACTGGGAACCTTCCTTGAAGTGGTTCCATGATGCCTAGGTTGTCAAGGGGGTAGATTCAAAGGTACGGAAACAAACCAGTCTTGAAGGGTACAGGACAAGATAAGATCAAGTGACAGTTCCACTTAGAAAGGGTCCCCTTGCTGCAGAGTCTGCTTCCTGGAAGTTGTTGATACCACGAGAACTTTGCTGTGGCTAGGGCACTTAGAAATGGCTTATATTTGCTAGTTATTATGTAGAGGGGTGATTTCCAGGCAGGCGAGAATGGCATCTTGACTGGCACCCAGGCGAGCATGGCATCTTGACTGGTATACAGCCCCTGGGATTCCTAGAACTGCAGATGTGCACTTACAAGCACAATAGCATTCTTCCTATTTTCTTTTCTTGTCTCTCTTGCTTCTCCTAAGGAGCTCTGGTAGCGTAGTGGTTACGAATCGGGCTGCGAACCTTAAGGTCAGCGGTTCGAAACTACCAGCCGCTCCGCGGGAGAAAGATGAGGCTTTCTACTCCCGTAAGGATTTACACCCTCGGAAACCCTGTACAGGGTCGCTATGGGTCGGAACCGACTCGACGGCACTTTACAACAACAACAACAACTTGCTTCTCCTTGTGGTTTCTTTTTCCAGAGTGTATGTGCATCGTTTTTGTGTATGTGTGTTTGTGTGTGCATATGTGTGAGAACATTGGCCTGTTTCCATCTCATAAGTGGGGCTTCCCAGGGCCGCCTGTGAGTTCCCACCTTGGGACTGTAGACTACACGAGGGCCTAGATTGCCTGGGCTTTTCTGCTCCCTGAGGCTCCTCTTTGATGGCTAAACTCAAACTGTTGCTGCCACCACCTTTCAGCTGTGATGCTAACCAGTCACCCGCCTGGTTAACTCATGGGCGCTGCTGATTCAATTAGCCAAGGTGCCCACCTCCTGCAAGGCCCATTTATGAAATCAGCAGAAGCAGCTGGAGACCTCATGTAGGATGGGGTTACAAAAAAGCAAAGGGGAAGGTTAGTGACCTGGGAGGAAGGACTAGAGGAATATGGGACTCTGGGAGAAGGTATCTGATTCTGTCACGGTGACTTCTCCATGGAAGACGGCTGTACATCTGTGCCTGGCTGTGGTCCTCTACTCTTGGGGAGTCCTGATGTTGGCCGTTTCAGAGCAGAGCCCATAAATCTCTAGGCTCCAGGCTGGTTGGCAGCGCTCTTTCTTGCCTCCCTTCCACCTCTAGAGCCTTTTTCTTGAGACTAGTTCTCAGTCTCAGTGGGGAGGGTACAGGAATGAGGAGTTGGGGGAATGCACTGGGTTCTGAGGGATTTCTGGTAGAACTGATATCTTGGGCTTGGGTTAAGTAATTCTTGGACCTGAACCCCAGGGCATAGTCAGCCTTGTATTTTCAAGTGTTTGATCAGTGGGGAAGTATTGTGCGGGAGGGATGGGAGGTGCATTCAGTACCTACAAGCCCCCACATTTAGTACCCACAAGCCCCCACTGCCTGATGAATGGTGGCTGCAAATGAGTACATTGGCTGGAACTCGAGAATTCTACTACTGAACTCTGTGTAGCATGACTAATTGATTAGTTGATCTGTTGATTCTGACT